TGTACGCCTTCAGTCTTTGACCATTCACCTTAAAAGTTGTCCCAGCATCCAGGATTGTGATTTCTATTGCACCGTGGCTATGAACTTGATGCAATATGAAAGGCCCTGACCATCTCGACTTCAGCTTGCCTAGAAATAACTTAAGTCTTGAGTTGTAGAGCAGTACTTGTTGGCCCCTAAAAAATTGTCGTGGAAAAATTTTTCTGTCATTTCATTTTTTTCATTTTTTCTTTATAGAGACGGGCACTCTAATATGCTTGAGCTCTAAATTCTTCCATCTAGTTTAACTTAACAACCTCCTTTCTCTAGCAAGTTGAGCATCCATATTAAGTTTCTTAATGGCCTAAAATGCCTTGTGTTTTAATTCAACGAGCAAATGACATGTTTTTCCATAAACCAACTTGAATAGAGACACCCCTAGTGGCGTTTTAAATGTTGTGTGATAGGCCCATAGTGACTCATCAAGCTTTGGCGACCAGTCTTTTCTTTTTGGGTTGACCACCTTCTCAAGTATTTGCTTAATCTCATGGTTGGAGACCTCAGCCTACCAATTGGTCTGGGGTGGTATGGCGAGGAAATTTTATGGCGCATCCCGTATTTTTGCAACACCTTGGTAATTAATTCATTGTCAAAGTGGGTGCCCTCATCATTGATGATTTCTCTTGAAACTCCAAAATGTGTAAATATATTTTTCTGTAAGAATTTTAGCACGGTCTTGAAGTCATTTCGAGGTTTTACCATGGCGTCGACCCATTTAGATACGTAGTCCATAACCAAGAGTATGTACAGATCACCAAAGGACGATAGGAAGGGTCCCATAAAATCGATTCCCATACATCGAAGGGTTTAACTTCCAAAATATTTTGTCATGGCATCTCATTTCTCTTCGATATATTCTTAGTGCGTTGCAACGATCACATGACTTGTAGAAGTCTTGCGCATCCATGAAAAAGGTGGACCAGTAGAAGCCAGATTGGAAGACCTTTTGCAGAAGTCATCATCCCATCAAAGTGCTCTCCACACGAGGATGTATGACAATGAAATATGATCTCCTTGTGTTCTTCCTCGGGGACTCACCTCCTGATTATTTGATCTCCACATTGCTTGAATAAGAACAATTCTTCCTTATGCGAATAACGTCTCAACACATATTGAGAGACATTATTTTACTGGTGCCTATGACGTTGATCTTAGGGAACTGATTTGTAAGTAGTCTCGTGATCGATGAACACCTACAGTAACGACTAAATTTGATTTAAACGAGGTTGAACTATTCCACTTTGAGGGAGATCATTCTGACGAAGAACCAATAAGGGAGCCTGACTAGATGGTGATGAGTTAGGCCCTTCTATGAAGAACCAGAACACCTTGACATACCACCAGAAGTATAAGACAACGAATAATATAGTGCGACTACAACGATTCCACATGCTACAATGCCTATTTCTTATTACCAGCCACCTCTCACTTTACAACAATTGATATGGAAGCATTTAACGCTCTGGAATTTTCTCAATTCCCAAACATTGAGCAATACAATCAACGTAGTGATGGTGGTCTCTATGTTGGAATGCTTTTCAAGTTAATAGAATGTTTTAATTTTTCATTATTTATTTTGATTTGTTTATTGGTAAGTTGGTAATTTATTTACTCATTTTTACGAATGAGTTTTAGGATAAAAGAACAAGTTGTGGTTGTAATAAAAAACTACAACATACGTCGCTCTATCATGTCAACTGTGAAAAAATCGATGTAGATAAGTACATCATTGAATGTCTCCATAAGAAGCAGGAATGTAATTGGAGGGTTCGTGTATCACGGTTGAAGACGATGAACAACCTTTAGAAACTCACAAAATACGTCCAACCATATACATGCACCGCCAACATTTTGAATCAATATCAACGTAACTTGGATGTGCACGTGCTTTCTGAAGCCTTCATTCTACTGCTCAAATCAAATCCACGTGTTACGGTTGCGACCTATATTGCTTCAGTTACATCTCTATACAGATACACAGTTGACTACCACGAAGCATGGTATGCAAGGTATTAAACCCAACAAAAAATGTTCTGCCAATGGGAGGAATCATACAATAAATTGCAGCCATGGATTAAACTGATACAGAAACACTTTCTATGAACAGTTGTGAAATTGAAAATATTCCCAGCGTACGAAAATGATCGTGTTATACAAGGTGTATGCCAATTCTATCGGCTCTTTTGGACTTTTCCACAATGCATTAATATATTCTTACACTGCAAGCCAATTGTTCAAATCGACGACACTTGGTTATATGATCGATACACTTAAATAATGTTATTGATGATTAAACAAGACGGTAATAGGAAAACTATTCCCATCGCCTTCGCAATTGTCAAAAAGGAAGATATCGACTTTTGGGAATTCTTCCTTACGAACTTACAAACATATGTTTTATCACAAGTGATACAGGATAGAGATGATGAGATTTTTCTTAATTCTGACAACGTTGTTGGTATCAAATACGCACTCCAGCGTATGGGCTTGTTTTGCCAACCACACAATATTTATCATCGGTACTATTTACGACATATTGCCACAAACTATTTGAAGAAGTTCAAGAGTCAAGATAAGCGTCTAATGGTGCTTCGAATGGTTACGTCTTTCACCCTTTTCAGTTTACCATATCTTTACAAAAATATTTCAAATTAATTGTTCCACTTTTTATTGATAGGTTACACACAATCCGTACGTGAGTTTGAGGACCTGATGCAAGAACTGAGATACATGAATTTTGAGGGCTTCAACTCCCTTTCTAGAATCCCAAATGAGAAATGGCTTCGATCATTTAATGGGGTAGACAGTATGGTCACATGACAACAAACTTGGCTCAAGCAATAAATTTAGCACTAAAGGGAGTGCGTCATTTGCCTACGTCTGTTTTCAAAGCGATATATTATCGACTGGCAACTCTTTTCGCAATATTAGGAAGGCAAGCAGCTGACTGGATGACAGGTGGCAACCAAATCCACCTAGGCTTCCTAAGAAAATTGCAAACATTCCAACAACATTCCAATATGATGAGTGTTATATACTTCTCTCGCGAAATGTCATTATTCCATCTATCAGAATTTGTGAGGGCATTAGAAGGCATACAACACAACGCATACGCGGTTAATTTATGAGAAAAAAATATGCAAGTGCGGATTCTTCCAAACTTTTAAATTCACGTGTGCGCATACCATTGTTGATGTTTCTTTTGCTCGAATACCCTACATGAGATTCGTTGATCGGATTTACTTACTTGAAACTATATTAAAGGTTTAAGAATATGATTTCTCTCTCATTGAAAATGAATGGGATCCGGATGAAGCCGATGATGAACCTACAATACTGTCAGGTTATACACTACGATAAAAAAAATTGTATTCCACAGTCAACCTGGAGTTTTTGTGACAAGGATTTGGTCGAACGTCAAGAAAAAATTGGACAACCGAAATTATGCTCTATATGTAAAAATCCCGGACACACGAAGGACAAATGTCTCAATCGCTCAGGCCCACGTATCAATTAAATGGGCTTTTTGCATTGTTTCTTTTTTAATTAACAACACGTATTACTTAGTTTTCAATTTCTTTTTATTTCTTCATGCACCATGATAATCATGCATTCCAATGTTTTCCAACATGATTTTTACTCCCATTAAAATATCTCGTATGTGGCCAAATTAGCCTTAACATAAATATAAGTTGTAATATTATACCTCTAATCATATAAATTATGAAATCACTCTAATTTACAAGCCAGAAATAACACTCTAATATGTCTATCAAACCATTTTTTTCTTCTTCCCTCACAAAACCATGATTTCTAACCATTTTCAACGTCATTTTTACCCTGCTTAAAATGTATTATATATGATGATATTATAGTCACCTTAAAGATAAATTGCAACACTATGCGTTTATAATTAAAAATTAAAAAAATCAGTTTCCCACCCGAAAATAGTATCTAAACAAGGTTGTGGACACTAAAGGGAGGGTAGAGAATCTATTATCATCGCGCTTTGCAGGCTGTGAGTTCTCCCATAAATCTCGCGATATTTTGGATAATAAAGGTTACCTCACATTTTACAATGAGCGAGGTCATTTTATCCAATTGTTTTATTGGTTTACCTGGAAAGTGTAGCAACGTCGGATGTATCTCACGCGTTGGAGGGTGCGAGGATTTAACATGTTGTTTGCAGGCTGCGAGGTCGTCCGATATGGATAATTTGGGGTTATTCTTTCAAATAATTTATGTAGGGCCCTATTTCTTTAGATAATTATTTATTTGTAGTTTTTAATATAAAATTGCATTGGCAAATCATCTATCGTGAAGAGCGGCCATCCAAGTGAAGATAGGAAGGACTTTCTTTGATGAATTGAAGGAAAATTTTCGGATATCAAATATTATTTAATCTAAAATTTCAGATACGAATATCTGAATTCGAATAAAAAAATTAGTTGAATAAAAAAATTAAATTTAATATTTTATAAATTTATATAACATGTTATATATATTTACTATATATATTTATCAAAACATAAAGAATTTCAGAACAAATTATCAATATGTAATTTTAAGGTTTGAAAAACAAATAATTTTAAAATTGGAAAAAATTAATTAATAATTTTAATTTCTTCTTTCGACATACAATTTTCACCCTGCATTTTTCACTCCTAAGGATTAAACTGAAAGAGACAGCTGAGACACCGCTTGCAATTTGCATCATATACTTATTATCTATGACAATCAAATTAAATAATTTGATATATTAAATAAAATTATAATATGAACAGAATATATATATATATATATATATATATAATTTAAACAAATCTTTGTCATAGTACTATAAATAATTATAATAAAATTAATATTGAAACTCGAATAATTCGACTCGACTAAAAAAATTCAAATTAAATTTAAATTATAAAATACGATTTGTCAACTCGAATAACTCAATTTTTTTGACTCGATCAAATGTTCAGCTCTACTAGTATGTGTTTGAGGAATGCCGATAGGAAGCAGATAAACAAACAAGTTGAGTGCGTACCTACTATACACTTCCAAAAATAACATTTACCCATGTACATATTTACAAACAAACGCCGCCTCACTTTCTATTTCTTACAATATTCTCAGCTCAGAGTTTGCCCTAACAATGTTTCCACCCAAAAAATAACTTAAGAGCAGTCCTTTTCTGTACAGCATCATTGTGGACCCATGGAAATTGCCTTTAGGACCCATAGCAATGCCCTCATAAAGGTTAAAAACCATTCATGCTCAAGGACCCAAAGTTGTCTTCATCATGTCCAAAGAGAATAAAGATCTGCATGTAAGAATCGAAGTCAGCCGGATTACAGGGAAGCCTACTTTTATAAGTTCCGCAAAGTAATAAGATAATGTAACACCGAAAACCCTTTCTAAACTTCTCACATACTCATGTTTCAGAAGAATCAATATGCCCTCCTTTCTTTTAGATATTTTAGGCGTCTTAGGATCTAAAGCCGAACATCTTGCGATAAGCAGAAAATGTGTACCTCGTTGCAGTTTAGTTACAAGGCTAAACAATCAAAACCGTCGGCCGAGAAGATGAGAAGATGCTGAGCCTGAGTGAGGCGGAAGAGGCCTTTTCACAAACGGGTGCTGCAAGAGCTTTGCAGCAGTGGGCCGAGCATCGGGATCTGCTTGTATGCATTGCATGATAAAATCTCGTGCATCTTTTGACAAAGAATCGGGAACCGGTGGTGGCTCACCTCTCCCAATTCTAAACAGTGCTTGCATCTGTTTGAAGTTACACAAAATGTCAATAACAACATAACAAAATTCATCCAACGTTTTAATTACATGCATGAAAACGGACTACCAAAATTTAACTCAACAACACTTGTTCATGGACGCTCTCTAGCATCAGTGCAAGGTAGAATTCATCATGAACAATCAGAGCAATGAAACAAACTGGAACATCTCTCCACCCTTCCCCTCCAACCCAGTTTCATGCACTAAAATTCTATAAGCCAAGTTGTGATTTGGTGATGACAACATACAAATTTTCATATCATCTGTTCTTTCTACTTCTATATTAGATCACTTAATAAATATTCTAGACAAGGCTTGTATCCAGAAGAAAAGCTACATACACATTCCAACTGATGGTACGGAATCTGGCGGGTTAACATCTCCAACACAGTACAACCAAGGCTCCATATATCAGCAGGAATTCCATACCCTTGACCTTTCTGATTGACAACCTGTAATTCAACAGCTGGTGATCAGAATTCACAGGAAGACGAAAAGTTATTGGTAGTCTGAGGCTCTGTGGACAAAGTAAATTCCTGTAGCAAAGGCAACAAGGATAAAAATGTTTCTAGAGAAAGAGCACCGGAACCCAGAAGACATCATTTAAGTCTGATCTAAATAAAAGCCAATAGCTTTCAGAATGGGTGAAATGCCATAATCATACATTAGCATCTAACTAAAAACTACAGTTGTTCAAAAATTACTGGTGGCTATTTTTTGCGTTCATGATAAGCTAAATACTAAGATTCAGGCTACGATATGAAAACTGATTCATGAAACTCATGTTCATATAAATGATTCCCCCCAAAAATGGATGGTGGATCAGCAAGAGAAATTTACACCTTTTGTCCTGTCTATCACCATAGTCATGACTCATGATTGTGTATTCATATAAGCTAAATATATCCAGCAGTATCTCTAATGTAGTAGAAAAATATTCGCTAAAAATGCATCCCATCATTTTTTTTGTCACCATTGTCAATATCAAGTATCCTGACAATCTAAATGTCCCAGTCGTATCTCTAAACAGAAATGAAATGATGCTCTAAATGCATCGAGCAACAACTATTACAGACTATGATTTCTGAAAGGAAAGAATAGAGGCAAACCTCAGGAGCCATCCAGAATGCCGTCCCTTTGCATGATTTAACATCATTTAACTTTGTTGCCTGAATATAAAAACCAGCACCAATATCGTTATTATGATCATATTAGAAGCTACTAATAAACAAGAAAGAAGTTTGAAGTCTTAGGGTTGAAAAAAAACCTTTGCCAACCCAAAATCTGCAAGTTTAACCGATCCATTTCCATCGACCAATATGTTTGCACACTTAACATCCCTGTATCAACAATCAAAGAGATTCCCGAGATTAATTAAAATTTGTAATAATTTAGGTATAACATGGAATAAACAATATTATTTTAAATGTGAAAACAATAACAAACACCAAAATCCAAATCAGGGAAGAAGACAGAAATCAACCAGGCATCCAAACTTACGGGAAAATAACTACAAAATAACAAGTAAAATGTTTACAAAAAAAGTACTTATATTATCAAAGTAACTCGTATTCTTGAGTTTTAAACACCCTTCGAGAACCAATGTCAATAGAGATAAGGAACCAAAACTTCCATCCGTTAGGTCAGGCAATGTTCACATTAAAAGGTGTATTTTCCATATAGAGTAATTTTCCATCAGAAAATATATGTAAGAAGAACATATAACTAGAGTGGAGATAAAATTTCATACTTAGATAAATCAAACAAACAAGACTTTTACGTACTGTGTAAATAAATGAGAAACAACATGAAAGATCTCTTGCATTACCTGTGAACCACATTTCGGTCATGAAGATATTTCAATCCATGCAGAATCTGTCTTGTATAAGCAGAGACTTGAGAATCTTTGAGATGGTATCTTTGATAAAGATTTAAAAGGGAGCCTTTGGTTACAAGCTCAAGAAAGATGTATAAATTTGATTGATCCTGCAAAGAACATAAGATCAAAAAGATAAAAGTTAGACAATTAATGAAAAAGTTCAACTAAAAGGTATTCTACAACCCATTTATGATCATTAACATAACGCTCCAACTTGCAGATATGGGTAGTTACATGCATCAACATTCAATACTTGGCTTTGTTTTCCATTTTGAACCAGCTCTCTATAGCTAAAGAAGAAAGGCTGCATTAAATATAAACTTTCGCATTAACACCTTTCTCAAAATGCAAGAATAGGTGAGGTACATGTCTAACAGTCAAATTACAAAGCAGTGATCGAGTACGACGAGCAAAATATTCTCAAACAGCAATAGAACCTTTCAACAGGTACAGCTGACAAAAACATTCAAACCCCACCAGGATAATATAATTTCTCTTTCTCCCACTAAAAATTTCTATCGAAGAGCACATTTTGTTTAAATTAAATTTTACATAAGAAATACAATTAGTTTAAAACAAAATCAATTGCAAATAGTTAAAGTAATTTTTGTTTAACTCCTATTTTGATGGGAAGGGGGAATAGGAGAGAGGAGGCTAAATCGTTACAAGTGAAAATACAAAGTAGTTAGTGCATTGAGAAGCCAAACAATAGGGTTTTTTGTTCTAAAAAATTTAAAATTTAATAGAACTAAAATCAAATGAAATGGAATTAAAAAACGGTTAGTGGCTACCATGTTAATTTTTTTTTCAAAAATCAATGACTAGCAAAAGTATTCAATTCCAGTGATTAAGGTAAATGTAACAAAATTATACCTTATCTGTACCATAATATTGAACTATATTTTCATGTTCGAACTGGCTTAAAAGAGCAATCTCCTGAAAAAGAAAGGAAATAAAGAAATTTAAATAGACAGACAAGAAGTGTGCATTTCAAGCCAAAAAAAAAACATTGATTAGCAAAAAAGAAAATGAAATATTAAAGAAATACAAGTAAAGATATGTCTCACTTGTTCAAGCTGGATAATACTTTGCTTTCCCTGACTTCCTTGATCAAGCAACGAAACTTCCTTCACAGCAAAAAAGAAACCATCCCTACAGGAAAATGAATGGATAACTAATTAACATAGAATGACTAAAAGAAAAATGCATCTTTCCTAAAGAAAAGCAATAAATAATCTATTAGGCAAGTGGAAAACCAACTATTTGTTAGTTAAGATAAAATAAGCTCTCCTACACTATTCCAAAAAATTTATGATCAATGATATCTTGTGTGACTCCAAGTAAATGACATCAAATAACTTGGAGTTTATGTAACCCCAAACCTCTGTGATTAGCTGTTGCTTCCCTGTGTTTATATTTCTCAACTCTTTAAAAAGAGCCAACAACTAAATTCACCAACTTCAAATCTATATGCAGAACAATATATTTCCAGTGTACCAGTTCCCAACCAAATAAGACCACAGAAAACTAATACTCAAGTCTACAATCAAAATCTATTTTGAAACAATAGTAAATGATGGACTCGACTCTAGTATTTAGTTCTTTATGCCAGTTCTCAACATACAAATTACCCACACAAAATGCGTGCATGGGTATATCAAATTATCAAATATGCAAAACTTCAAGCAGCAAACAAAGTAACACTTAAAGAAAGATGGTCCGAAGGGCTAAAACTCATCATCGATCAACCCTTCGTGTTCTAGACAGTAAAAACATGAGATGTCTCAAAAGCAGCAACCTTTGGGGTCACTAAATAAATTATATCTAGCAATCCTACGATGCAGCGATTCTTAATCCACCGACCCAAACATGTATAACTCTGCTCTCTAAAGAAGCAAGGTGCCATATAAAGACGCTTTCTTAAATGCTTAACCAACAAGCCTTCCTAACACTAGATGCTTTCTAATCTCTACATTCTTAAAAAAAAAGGTGCCGCTCAAGTAACAAACTATGTGTAGAACTAAGGCGGTATCTAAAGATAATACAACTTGAAATGAAAGCTATCTAAAAGGAGTCAGACATTATATATATGCAGTCTCAGATCACTTACGCAGAAATCCCTTCGTAAACTGATCCAAACGATCCACGGCCCAGAAGATCACCTTTCTGCCAATAAGAAATTGTCCTTTTGAACCTACCGTTAGGGGAAATATTTGACATAGGCTCTGTTGTGGTACTCGAAGAATCATCATCATTCGAAGTAGTAAACGAACAAGAAGCTGAAAGCATCGCAGTCTCTCCTATTCTCATTAAATTTTCCTCGTCAACCCCAACCTCCTCTTTTTTACATTCTTCAATATCGAAAGAATGCAAGTTATCCGGAACCACACACCCTCTATCGTTTTCAGGGGAGAAATCCCTAAACAGATCCCAAGTGGAGCAGCCGTTATCGACCACATGTAGCTTCGATCCCGGAGGAGGCTTTAAAAACGGTGGCCTAGCCCCTTTAATTCCATTATTCCTTCCTCCACCACCAAGATACGAAACGCAAGACGCGTTTAACTTCAACTCGATTTTAGTATTATCATCCAACCCAATTTTATCGGAAAAGCAGCATTCCCTTACCTTTAACTCGGACGAGCCGTTCCCAGTCAACCCAGTAGCCGAAAGCCTATCAGACAATTCAGCTACCGTTACTTCAGCACCGTCTCTTATCTGAGCCGTCTCCTCTTTAGGACTATGCAACCGGCTCAACCTGGAGCGCGGCAGAACATCCGAAGAGGACCTGATTTTATGATCCTCCCAAGCGGCGGTGGGGATGGAAAAGTCTTCAGGACCATTAAATCCCAAGCTCCGATAAATCCGATCGAGCTCCCCGTCGGTTCCTTCGATACGGAAGCTGGTTTTATCGTATGAATCGAGCGATCGTGTGAGTGCAGGAGAAGAGGACGAAGAAGAATCATCTATAGACGAATAAAACGACGACGCGTCGTAATCGATGTCCTTCGATGCATTGCAGCGTTCGAGCCTAGGTTTTCTCCTTTTGTTCTTCTTCGAGTCCATGCCGACTCTACTACTAAAGAATCGAGGTAGGTGATGCATTGGGAGCAAAATCTATAAAAAATTCAAAGCCACAAAAAATAATTCAGGGGTTTCCGAAAATATTCAATGAATCGCAATAACGAAAATTTGGGAAGCGAAAAGGAGCTGACCCGGAGAGAGGCAGAGAATGGCGATAATGGTCGACAGAACCGCTTGTAAACGCCGTCGGTAGAGACGGCCAAAAAATAATTAAACGCGTTGCCACGTGGAGGATTATAAATGGTTAAGTTTGGTTTAAGGTGGGACCCAGTTACTGCAAATGTTCAAGTTGTTGCCACGTAAACAAACGGGGTTATTTTCAACGGCGTAAGTAGACCCACATGGCAGCTGGCAAATTGGAACATTTTGTCTTTTATCCTTATAAACTTGTGGAAAATGTGTCTTAATTGATTCAGTTAAATTGTTTCTTGAAATTTTAATTCAAAAAAGTTTTAAAATTCGAGATATCTAACTTGTATGCAAAGAAGGTAGTTATAATTTATTATAAAGTAAATTTAGTCTAAATATTTTTAATTATTTAATAATAAATATTTAATTATACTTATTATGATCGTTATCGTTGATGTTCGAATTTATGCACAAATAATTGTTAATTATTCACTTATTCTAGTAATTAGGTTGTCGTATGTGTTGTACTATTTTATTTGTCTTGGACCGATAAAATTTGATTTGTTAGTATCGATACAACTACTAATTCTAATAATCTTATTGTATAAATATAACAGGTCTTCATTTAAAGATATTATAGCTTTTGATTAGTAAAATTATAATGCCATCTATCATTTGATATGTTATGTTTCGTGATCTTTCAAATTTCCTCGTCTTTCTAGTTCATTCTTGTTCTAATTGAAATTGATTGCAGATTCAAAAATCTAATAGTAAGTTTGTTTGATTTTTGTCGTTAATACTTTAACCCGTTGTTATAATAGTTACATTAAGCGATTTTGTTCAGTAGTTCTGTTGTACGGTAGCTTTAATATACGACTAAGAAAAGATCCTATCGAAAATATTAATATTTTTTTAACATTTCCGGTAAAGCGCGACTTAAAACATTATTTTCTTTACTGGAAATATTAATTTCGCTGCCTAATTTCCGGTAAAAAAACAACATTTTAGGTAGCTCCCAATATTAATATTTCTGATAGAAAAAAATAATGTTTTAGGTAGCGTTTTACTAGAAATGTTAAACATTTTAGGTAGCGCTCAATATTAACATTTCCGGTAGAAAAAAATAATGTTTTAGGTACCGCTTTATCAAAAATGTTAAAAAATTATTAACATTTCTGGTAGCGTTTTTCCTTAACCGTATATTAAGGCTATCGTACCTTAGACATCCCTACTTTGTTTAGAGATGTTTTGGTAAACATTTTTAAGTTCTCGGTTCAGTTTTCGCATCAACAAAGATGGATCGAGGGAGACAGATGATGGTACTCGTCTCTCTGAAAATTTAAAATTATCATATATTTTAGATTTTTTTATGTATTTTTTATTGAAAATATGTTTTTACTGGCCCTTGAAATTTTAGTTCGTCCCTAAATTTAAGTTCGCTTCCTAACATAAAATCATACATCTATCCCTCCACATCGACATTTAGATATAAGCTTTCTGTTGAAGATTACTTATGTTATACCATCATGATGTTTGGCTCGAGTTGATTCATTGATCGAAGAGTGGACTAGTGGTTGTTAGGTTTCTTGTGATAGTCTTATTGGATTAGTTGAGTGTTTCTTCGAGTCATTACATCAATATGAACATCTCTCTTATGATTTTTATTTTATGTTTTTGGTTTGCTTTTTTCATGTCTACTATTTATTTAACGTATTGGTTAAGAAGAATCAACTTTGTTGGTTTTGCATCAATATTGCCTAAAAAATATTATAGTTTAGTTTTGAACTTTTTAGCACTCAATGAGACTTTTAAATTGAGAAAAAATTAATCTAACCTTTTGTTTAACATAATCAAATCTAACCTTTTGATTAACATAATCAAATATTGATTATCATAACGTTTACATGATAGTTCACAAAGTTTATATAGTGATCTACAATGTTGATATGACAGTTCACGATATTATTGTGGTAGTACACGATGTAATAGATGTATTTAATTTTTTTCTTTTGCTAATTTCGATGGCCTAATTGATTTTTTTTAAACTGATAACTTATTTAATTTTTTAGAAAATTAAGAAATTATTTAAATTTAAAATATAAAATATAAACAATCATTAAGATATTCAATACATTAAATATATAAATAGTACAATATTATATTATTAAAAATTCAGTTTAAGGATCATATTGAGTGTAAAAAAGTTTAGGGATCATATTGATTTTTTTGCAAAAGTTTAAAGATTTCAGCTACCGTTAAACAGTGGTGGATCCAGAAATTTAAAAATAAGATTCAAAATTTTATTATTATTTTCTTAAAAACAATGGGTATCAAAAATTTTTGTTTTTTCTATTTTCGTTAACATATTAAACTAAATTTCACATTTTTTTTGCTTAAATAATGGGGATACACTTAGCCCCTTAAAAGTTTAGTGCATCTTCTCCTGCCGTTAAGTCAAAAAATTATTGCTAGAATGATTTTAACTAGTGTAAGTTAAGCAAAAAATTTATGTTCACATTTTCCTATTTTTCAAATTTCCAAAAACAATTTTAATGAAACCACTGAAATCATCTTTTCATGCTTTCACTTATTTTTGTTTTTTCAGAAATCGTTTTTCAAGTTCACAACCAAACACATACTCTTCGACGTTTTCTATTTTCTAAAAAACAAAAATAGCCAATATTTTCTAGAATAAAATGAACCCTAATATCTCTCAAGCTAAAACCCTGTTAATAATCACCATTCAATACTCTTAATATGTGTTATGTTCAACAAGTTTCCAAAAATGACACAATCAAGCTATCTGGAAGTACTTACGTACTTTGAAAAGTATCAAATTGCTGCAATCATTTAAGGTTATGTGTTAACAAAGTTCATCACTAGTGAAATTGTGGCTCTTAATCAATATTTTAGTGATTAAGTAGGCCAAAGTGTAAAGAATTCAATTTTTAGGCTTACCATCAACAAGATAAGCTTATATGACACTTACATGACAATTCACAAAGCTTATATGATAATCTACGATGTTGATGTGACAGTTCACGATGTTGTTTGACATATACGATGGATGATGATGTGGTGGATGAGTTTAATTGATTTTTTTACTATGTTCAAGGATCTAATTGGTTTTTAAGAAAGTTTAAAGATTTATTTAGTTTTTTAAATAAGATATTTAAAAAATAAATATAAACAATTATTAAGATATTTAATACATTAAATATAAAAATTCTGCAAAATAAATTATTAAAAATTCTATTAAATATAAAAATTATTAAGTATTGAGGGTAAAAAAGTTTAAGGATCATATTGATTTTTTGTAAAAGTTTGAGGGTTTTAAATTCCATTAAATCAAAAAATTGTTATTAAAAGGATTTGAATCCATGTAAGTTAAGTTAAAAATCTAGATTCATTTTTTATTTTTCAAAATTTTAAAATAATTTTAATAAAAATACTGAAAACATTTTTTTATGTTTTTTTGTTTTCATTTCTAATAAATCGTTTTATAATTTTATAACCAAACATTCTTTCTTCAATTTTTTAATTTCTAAGAAAATGAAAATAATATATATTTTTAGAATCAAATGGCCTTATTGGCTTGAACATAAAAAAATCTCAAAGTTCAAAACCTTAGGGTTCGTTTAGTTCTAGAAAATATTTTATATTTTTTGTTTTATTTGTATATTTGGAAAATAGTTTTTATATTTTTATTTATTTTTGTTTTTATTTTTCAGGAATCATTTTCTAATATTATAATCAAACACGTTTTCTTTGATTTTATTTTTATTTCTAAGAAAATGAAAATATTAAGATTTTTTTAGAACCAAACGAACCTTATTGGTCGTGGCAGAAGATAAAAGGGGCTAGTGAGAGCCGTGGTCTCCCAAAATTTAAAAAAATAAAATGTAGGCCTTTAAAATTTTCAAAAAATTTAATTTTACCCTCAAAATTTTTAGAAATTTAGATTAAATTTTAAAATTTTCGAAAGTTCTTAATTAAACTCATTTCCATAATTTTTAAAAATTTTCATTAAGTATCTCAAAATTTCAAAAAATTTAGTTAGATCTTATTTTTTTGAAAAAAAAATATAAAATAAACCTTTCAATTTAAAAAAATAATAATTTAAACTTCTATTTTTTTTTTGAGTTTTAAATTAACCCTTCAAATTTTAACACTAAATTCCGTCCCTACTTATTGGCTTGAACATAAAAAAAAATTCTGAAACCACTATCTCACGAACAGTTTAACTCTACCGAAAAGAGACAAAAGTAAAATTAATCGATTTAATTAATTATAAAAAATATCAACGATAAATATACAGTGGTATTATAGACAAAGACAACGGCTTTTTTAGCCCAATAAAAATAACAGATTTTTTATTTAGCCGTATCTCAGTTTATATTTTGTGATATATGATACTTTTTATAATGTTATTAGAACTCATCACATTGAGGTGATGAGTTTTAATAAAAATATTTTTTTATTTAAATTTGTTATTTAGTGATGATAAATTTTAATAAAATATATTTTTTTATTAAAATTTATCACAATAAAGTAAAAGTTAAAATAAAAAAATATTTTTTATTAAAATTTATCACATTAATGTGACGAATTTTATAACACGTAAAAAATATCATATATCCTAAAATAAATTTTTACTTACAATATTAAACTAAATAAAAAACTCGTAGAGGCAACAATCGTCTAGAGACGTAAGTAAACTTCTAATGTCTAGATTTTTCCGAGTCTATTTGTTGGGATATTATTTATCATACATGTAAATTTTAGAATTTACATAGACATGTTTATTTTATGATTTTAGATTTTAAAATTTAGGGTTTAATATTTTTAATTTATAGAATTATAATTTAAATAAATAAATTATATAAATTTTTTCATAATTGTATGTAAAATAATAACTTTCATTTGTTTATAATTCAATAAGAGATTATTATACATATTTTTATTATCTGATCGATGCTACTTAT